TCTTACATTTTTTTCAGATATGGGAAACAAGAAAAGTTTGAAGTTGTCATTTTAGGGGAATGAGAATTTATTTTTGTTATTTCTGAACAGCCACATTAAGCTGAACTGAATAAGCTACATTATGCCTTTGAATTTTATGAAAAATCTCAGCGTTACTTATTAATGACACCATCTAAAAGAGGAGAATCTGCTCACTGTTTACTTACTCCACTGAGAATACAAGTTTTTAGACAATTTGAGAAAGTATTTTATTAGCTTTATTTGTAGAAACTTGTAAAAGTGAGTTTGATTTTATGATATTTCTATATGTTTTTATGATTATACACTATTTCCAGGTGTTCTTCCTCCTGCCTTTTGAGTCAGGGAGAAGGAGCGCTTAGTCTTTAAGGATCATCAATAATTGAAATAAAGTAAGTCTATCAGAAGAAAGCAGAACAATCAAAGCTATTCACCAAAAAGATCTCACATTTCTCCTAGATGAGATTAACAATGTAATGAATCAGATGGACTTGACGCTGCTTAAGACACTTTTTGTGTCTTTGCAGCAGAAAAGAGAGGCCTGGAGCCCTGCAAACACACTGACCTAAGGGTTCTGTCAGTGTGTATTTCCATTACTTTCCACAGTGTTCTACCCCTTTCATGCATTCCTTGTGAATAAAGCATAGCCCAGTTTGAAATCTCTCAGCAGAATCATAATGTTCTTTGCTCTTTGCCATGAAATGCCAGGAAGAGGAAGAAGGTCAGCTTTGAGAGAGCTTGGGCACCATGCAGACAAAAGCTAGATGCTGAGAAAGTTTGCATTAATTTTAGTGTCTGAACTGCAGAGTCCTGCTGCTCACAAGGCAAATTATGTGGACCTTAAGGTTGCAGCTAGAAAATCACATAGTATTCCCAGGCTATGTCAGAACCCAGGATAGTGAGTACCTATAGGAGACCTCATCTAGGGGATTTATAATTATTAGAGATCATATTTTTGCTAAAATATTATTATGCTATAAAAGCACTAAATGAGCTGTTGCTCCTAAACTAAATAGAAACAGGCTTATGAGAACATCACTTTCAGTCCAAGCCTGATAAGCCACTTTATCTCCGTGACCTGAACAAAAAATACAAAATAGTTGTTACCAGTGTATCAACATCTTTCAATCAAACTGCACTGGTTTCATGGGCCTGCAAATGCTCTTGCGGGCTGATCTATCTGTTTCCTTGTTCAGTCTAACCTGTGGGCAATTTCAGATAAATTTGATCTCTGTGAGAAACTAGAGATTCAGGATCTGCTTTTTTCTTCTTCTTCCTCTGTGAAAGTGGTACAGTTTCACAGAATCATAAAGCTGTTGGTAGCAAGTCTGTACCACAATATCCCGCTCAAAGTAGGACTGTACCTACTACTAGGTCAGGTCAGGCATGACTTTGTGTACCTGAGTCTTGAAAACCTCTGAGAATGGAGAATCCACAATCTGTCTGTGTGATCTGCTACAGTACGGCACTAACCTCCAGGTAAAAAAGCTTTTCCTGATATCTTGATAAGCCCTTCCCTAACCACAGCTTGTGACTATTGTCCCTTAGCACTGCCACGGAGAGTTGGTGCCATCATTTTGTAGCTGGCCTTTAAATAGTTGTAGGATGCTATTAAATTCCTCACCCACCCTTAGCTTCCTTTTCACGAGATTAAACAAGCCTACCTCCATCAGTCCAGCTCCTCCTTACAGAGCATGTACTCTAGACCACTGATTATTTTGGTAGACCTTTGTGGGACCCTCGTTAGTCTCACAGTGGTCCTGTCTTTTACCAGTAAGTACTTTCTTAGGGGTGAGAAGCAGTTTCAGAATGGGCAATTGCCTTCTGCGTTGTTGTTTTATGTACACTTTCCTTGTATTCCTCAGTTCCTCATGGAAGGAGTTACGTAGAAACTCGCAATCCCATGTGCACTTCTTGCTGTAGTAGTTAAGCAAATGGTGTGCTGATCTGTGAAGATGCTGCTGTCCAATAACCCAGGAGTCCCACTTAGGGATAGAATCTGACTCTTCTGCTTTCTGAGACATCCTTCTGAACATTTTAGAAACATCTGATCCAGAAGATGCCCTAAAAGTGGATAACAAGAACTGAAATCAGTATATTTAGCTGTTAGCATGTTACATTAGTGTGTTAGTAGGTATTAAAAGTGTAGACTAATTAATCAAACTGTGATTCATTACTTGGCAATATGATTGCTGTGTAGAGCCTGGTGAATGCTGAACAGGAGAGATGTATTTTCAAGTGTTTGCTTAGTGGCAATAAGAATTTAAATTAATTTAATATTAAATTTAATCAATTTAAAGTAATTAATTAACAAACTAATTTTAACATAATTTAAAATATGTTTTACAATATAAACAGACAAGTCATTGCTCATTTGATTTTACGACTCTAAACTCTTTTGAATTATTATTCAAATTAATACTTGACTGACTTTTATTGACTGACTGTATTTCTTGATGACTTAACATTCCATGTTTACCCTTTCCAAACCAATCTAATGAAATTCCAGCATGTTTTTTAGTTTTTTGTCTTCCTAGTTATCATTCATACATGAGAGTCAGCATCACCTGCTTGAATGCTTTAGGACAAAAAAAAAAAGAAAAATACTTTAAAAAAAGTACTGTTGGCTGTACTTTTTTTGTTCTCCTTCAAAGCCATATCATGAGTTTGTGGGCCCTACACATCGTGGGTTTGTGGGCCATGCTTTAAGACGTGGCCTGTCATAGAGTAAATTTTCTTTATTATTTTCGTGTGTTCAAAAGTGAAACTCAGGTTCTGATTGGTTCTAGTATATGTTTCGGACAAGATATCTATGAATCTTTCCTGGGCCTGTACACCAACTAAGATCATGCAACTTCAAATGAACACTCTTGCTATTTCAGAGCTTTTAGTTTGCAGTTGTTATTGGTGGTTTTTCTACCAACTTTTTCTACCGACACTTTTTCTTTAATGGATATGCTAGAAAAAGTACATCTTTTTCAGTTGTGACTGGTTTTAATTAAGAGTCTATAATCACACCTTTATGAAATGTTAGCTTGAAAGTCTGCTTTGAAATGTCACCTGGCATCTTCAATGTTTATCATCCCTGAATCTCAGAACAGGCTCCTTCTTTGTCAGTTGCTTGACATTTTTTCTAACTGTTGTGACAGAAGCATACATTAAATACCATAAATCAGCAGTTTCAAATATCACATAGAATAAATTTCCACATGGATTTACTTACCTTTTTCTTAAATTGAAGATATCCCTTGTATTCTCCTGGCATCTACCTTGAAAAAAAAAGTTTTTTTTTAAAGTTTTTTTTGAACTTATATTTATCCATCAGAGACTCTCTCCATAATTTTGGAGTTTCTGTAACTACTACTTTAGAATTTATACCCATATCAAAATATCATTATAAATTCTAATGCCCACAATAATTAGTAATATTTCTTGCATGTTCTGTGAAACAATTCAGTTGAAGAGAATAAATTAAAAGGTACTTTGGTAAATGATATATTAAAAGCCCATAGATCTTGCTGCCAAAACTTAGGTGATGCATGAAATATGATTTAAAAAAAAAAAAATTGCTATTTCCCCTGCCCCACAGAATCACGGAATGGTTGAGGTCGGACGGGACCTCTGGAGACCATCTAGTCCAACCTCCCTGCTCAAGCAGGGTCCTCTAGAGCACATTGCACAGGATTGCGTCCAGGCAGGTTTTGAATATCTCCAGGGAAGAAGACTCCACTACCTCTCTGGGCAACCTGTTCCAGTGCTCAGGCAACCTCCCAGGAAAGAAGTTTTTTCTCAGGTTCAGATGGAACTTCCTGTGGTTCAGTTTGTGCCCATTGCCTCTCATCCTGTCACTGAGCACCACAGAGAAAAGTCTGGCCCCAATTTCTAGTAGTATGGCAGAGAAACTGTTCTTCTTTTTCATGCTTACTTCGCTTCTGCTTAAGGGAATTAATGGTTCTGACTTTACCAGAATTGCTAAAAAACTAACTCTAGGTTCTAAATGCTACAGGTTAGCACTCGATATAACAGAAAAATACTGAAGCTGCTGTCTACCTGAATTTCTTTTTAATCTTTTGTCTAAGAAAAACGAGAATAGTTCCAGAAAAGTGTGAATGTGAAAACAGTTGAATGATGTCAACATTTCCTCTGATAATGACACCTTTTTTCCTGTGATATGAACATTGCCTTGGGACTGATATTCTACAATATTTATTCTCTTCATCAGACCCTGTCTTAGAAGTGTTTAGACATACCAAAGGAAATGCATTTCCTGAAGCAATTACAATAGATTCATAAATCTTTACCAGACACTTAGGTTGAGATGTGCACATTTAAGCTGTTTTGGTTTGATCAAACACAGAAAGGAGAAAAATGGGAAGGGTAATGTTTGTGTTGCCTTAAAACAAGTTTTATTTCTAGGTTTTTAAGCGCTTTTTCTTTTTACCCTGTGTTTAAATCAATTCAAAAGGAGAAATGACGTTTCAAAACCATCAGAACATCTTTTATAGAGGTGCCAAAATAAATCAACTTTTTTTTTAATTACCAAAATGATATTCCTTTGGGTAGTTGCATGATTAAATTCAAACAAAAGCATGACTAATATCATACCCCAAGCTGCATTTTTGGATGTTTTACCAGACCTAGAAAGAGCAATGTTTGCTGTGCAACAGAAGCTGTTTGAAAAAATATTTATGTAGTAGCAAAATAAAGATCAAGTGGATTGGACAGTCTCCATTCTTTAGCATCTGCACCAAAATACCTGTAAATGTGCCCTACATTTGCTAAGACAACATATGAAAACAAGCTAACAGGTACTTCAGCAACCGGCGCAGCCACACAATTAGTTTCCTCTTTGAAAATTAAGGAAGCAGTGCTTTTCTTATATTTATGGTTTTAGTATTAATGTGATCTTTAAACTAAGACTTCAGAAATAGGTGTTTCCTTTACGAGTTAACATTCTTCCTCATCTTCTCTTTCTCTTACAGGGTTTTTTTGTAGCAGTTTTATATTGCTTTGCTAATGGAGAGGTAAGAAACTGAATGCAAAAAGTTTTTAGTTGATTAATGAAATATATTAGTGACATCAAACAGGATGAAAATGCCAACTAGCACTGGTTATTTGAGATCATACCTATATTCTTTTAAACGGATTTAATTGTTTTGTACAAAAAGTGCAGCAAGACGCATCTCTTACAGGTCTGGAGTCAAACGTAAAATATTTCCACTGAAGCCCAAGTTACTGCATGGCACTGTGGATGCCTTGGATATCCTGGGGTGTGTAAACACCCATATAGTCTTATGGTCAGCCACCTAAATACCAATTTTTTTATCAGATGGAATCTCAGATTTCATGTCTGGCCTGGCTAAATCTTTGTTTTGTTTAACCCTAAGGTCCATGTGAAGGTGCTAAATTGCACAAGCTTTGCCATGGGGTACTTTACTATCTCAGAAAGCAACAAGGTGAAAAAAATAATTTCATGCATATACTGCTCAGGATATTGCAAAACTTAATGGGAGGGGATTCCTTTGCTGGAGGTTGTCTCCTGCTAAGCCTCAAGGGTAAACCAGTATTTAAGCAGATCCCTCATGGCTGTTATGCAAGGAAGCAACAGCAGAGAAATCAAAAGAATAATTCAGGAAGGAAGGAATCTCAGGAGGTCCAACTTCCTGCTCAAAGCAGGGTGAAGACTGAATTTGGACACAGTCAAGGACAGAGATTCCATCACCTCTCTGGTCCCCTGCTCCAATGCTTCACCACTCTCATGAGGAAACATCTTTTCTGTATATCCAGTTGGAACTTCCCTTATTTCAATTTATGACCCCTGTCTCTTGTGTTCCTACTACACACCTCTGTAGAGAGCCTAGCTCCATCTTCTCCATTACTTCCATGCAAGTAATAGAAGGCTGCTCTTAGGCCCTCCCTGAAGCCTTGTCTTCCCCAGGCTGAATAAGCCCTGTTCTCTCAGCATCTCCTGAAAGGGCATGTGCTCCAGCCCTGACTTCCACTGAACTTACTCAAGTTTATCAAAATAATTCTTGTGCTGGGGGCCCAAAACTAAATGCAGTATTCAGATGTGCTCTAACAATTGCTGAGTAAAGGAGAATAATCATTTCCATTGATCTACTGGCTCTGCTCTGTATATATAGCCCAGTGCACTGTTAGCCTTCATCAGTATTACAGCTGCAGGCAATTTCTGCGTTATCAAACTGACTTGCCGCAGACCCATCTGAAGAAATGAGTTTATTTTGTGAGATTAATCTCACTTAATGCTGAATGTCTAATAGTTTTCTAAGTTGAAGTCTGTTGTCTATACTGCCCCCTTATACTCAGCGGGAAGAAAAGGGCACTTCCAGAGGGTAGTACCTCAGTCTAGATCTACGCACTACTTCTATAGGTAGGACTGTGGTTTTAATTACTTTGGTGCAACTTCCTCAGAGTAATTGTTTTGCCTTCAACAGTAGTAGGTCTGCAATACTCTTCTAGACTGACATCTGAAGGTCAGGAGAGACAACCTAGAGCATTTCAGATAGCAGCAGGTGCCTGTGTTTATGTAGCTGAGTAACATTCACCCTAAATGTCTATAATATAGTATGTGTGCATGTAAGCTTGCCATTTGAGGTTTTATTCAGTTAACAGTGGAGCCCAGGGTGATTTCAAGAAATGATTCATCTTATTCTGACTTTGGCTCTCCACTACCAAACTCTAATACTGGCTTCCTTTTTGAAGTACCCTGAAATTTCCAGATAACAATAATAGGTGTAAAAGCAAGGTGCCATCATTCTTTTCCAGGTTGATCATACATGAATAGAGCTGCTCAGGAAATAGCAACACAATGCTTCCTCTCTGATTGTTTTTATTTTATTTTAAACAAAAGAGGACTATGTCATAAAGTCACTTTTGAGGGGTCTCCAAATAGAAAGATGTTTTGGCAGAGAAAGAAGGACAGGTTTTTAGTTTCAATTTTTTATAGCTTCTACCTCTAAAAGTTTCTTTCTTTTCCCAAGTAAAAAACTACTTATTGACAAATCTTATTAATCTAAGACTTGAAGAAGAGAAGTTAAAACATTCGGAAATGGTGGAAAAGCAGACATTCTTCTGTTAGGATTAATGGCAGCTCCCTGCTTTCAGTTGAATTTCAAGTTTTAAGAATAAACCGAACATCTATTTCCATATGAAGCAACTGCCTAAATTCAACATGCACATCTCATGCACTGTGGAAGTGTACTTAATGTAGTCAGTGAAAAGGAAAGAACAATTCAGTTGACCGAACATAGCTGTCCATCCTAACATTATTTAGAATGCTCTGTCATCTCTGGGGACAGTACAGAAACAAGAATCTGGTGCAGCTCTAAACAGTCAGTACTTAAGGACACAAAAGGAAGAATTAGGAGTCTTTTCTGGGTAGATTAATACAGCTGATCACCCTTCTGCCATTTCAAGTCAAGTATCAATACCTGACATGGCCTGTTGGAAGCTCTTTTTATACTGTTCTTCAGGCAAGTCTGTGACTGCAGTGTAGACATGCTCTCTGGGCAGGCAGAGGATACTTAATGGGATCAGAAAGCATACATGACATTTGGAAAAGTAAGGAAATAAAATATAAGAAATACAAGAAATATTAAATCAAGGGTAACATTGGTGATTTTCTTCCATTCATTTGGAAAAATTGGAGAAGGGGTCAATGAAAGGTAATCTTCTTTCTTCATGTTTGGAAGATAGAAATCCTAGCCAGCTACTGAGTATTTCAGTGTCATACTTCATACAGTAAAGGTATTCACTAAATATTCATTAAATTGTTTGTAAAAATATTTATATATAAGACTTGTTTTTTATTCAAATTGTTCTTAGAAACAGTTGTAGAATTCTTGCTTGCATGAACAAAAACTGAGAATACAGCCTGACCAAAAAATAAATCAGTTCTCCAAATTAATGAGAATCATGGAGCATGGAGTGGAGTTGCTAAACGGAACATTGAGGGATGGGTGGAAGCATGCTCAGCACAGATGAACTCTTCAATTTAACAATCAAATTCTTAAAATGTGAGCTTGTGCAATTTCAGACTTTACAAAAATGTTGCAAACAGGTTTTTGAACAAGTGCAAAGCAACCAATTTTTTGATTGATTTCATTTTCAGAAACTGCTGAAGTTTTGGCTCAAAGTATTTAAAAAAGGAAAGGTATTATTTGAGACAGAGCCAGCTGCAAGGAAAATTTCACTGCAAACACTTTTAATATAGCAGTGTTAACAGCAATTGAGAATAGGCATTTGCAATTGAAATTCAATACAGAAATATCTTAAATATTGGAAATTAAACATAATATTTGGATTACAGACTAGAAAAGTGCAAAGTCACCCCTTAAAACTAGAAACTACCAGGGCAAACTCTGCTTAGACCTCTCAGATGCATTTATATTTATAGTTAGTGATAGATAGTTAGATAGACAGACAGACAGATAGATAGGTAGTACAGGTCTATATTTATAGTTACATTACAAAATTCTTTTCTCAATAGCTTCCCCTAAGAACTTGAGTGAAAAAAGCATAATAACTCTTTAATGTATGTTCTGTGCAAATTCACTAGCTTTCCAATAAACAGAACTTCTGTCACATATAGAAGCCGCTCTGTTCCCTGCAGCAAGGTTTAGCCCCTGTCCATTCACATTCACAGTGCAGATCTCCACTACTTGCAATAAACAGGCACTTAAAATATATAAGTAGTATTCAACATCCTGGCACAGCCTGTTGACAAAATACACGGTACACGTACAGAAAGTTAAGTCACTAACAAATATATGAATTTGGACACCTTCTTCTTAAAGGCACCAGGGAAACAAATGAGAAGCTGCTAGTATTTAACAAAGAATCCTAAGGCAATTTTTGAACTACTTAAATAAAATAGAGAATTTGCAACTGTCTGCAGTACAGGTGTACTTGTCTAACATTTATGAAGGACATAGAATTACTATATCTCTTATTAGCAGTTAAAAGTTGATTTTTTTGGCCTTCTACCTCCTTGTTCCACTGAACTTTCTTAGGCCAAAGGGAATATCACTCCTGTTGAAAGCAAGGGCATGTCCTGTTCCTCTGTGCTGGCTCTGGAGCCTGCCCTCTGTCTGGAGCACTGACCCTGGGGTCATGCACGTAGCAGGCTATTTAGGTTGCTGCAGATTTCAGGCAGGCTGCCAAATAAAAAGCTTTAACAAAACAAACCAGATATCCAAGCATAGCACTCAGGCGAAGCAGCATAGCCCTCACTTCCACAGCCCTTAGGCTTTCGTCCTCCTCACTGCATTAGACTATAAACATTGAAGTCACTTGAACTCTTCCAAAACCTCAACATTATGATCACAGTATATAAAATTACAGACATTAAAGGGCTACAAATGACTTTACTACCTTGCAGTGAAAAGAGGGGACTATGGGATCAGCTTCGTAAGGCTGACTTGGTAAACAAGCCTTCTCTTGCTATCCTACAAGGACCTCAGCAGTTCCGACATGCACCACAAGGGTCAGGAAGCTCAGCACCTCCACAATCCTACTCATTTTATAACGAGCATTTGTATAAAGAGATTGCAAGGTGGTCAGCTGAGCTGAACCGCAGACAGCCTGTTTCTTTCTTCTCACAGGTAAAAGCAGAACTCCAAAAGCAGTGGTCCCGCTTCCTGCTGGCAGATCCCTTTGGCTGTAAGCTCTGCTTCCTTGGAGAAAACATCAAATACCTTAGGAAATGTTCGCAGAAACAAAAAAACCAGCACCTTAGCAGCAACACCTTCTGCCGGAAAGTAAGTGAGCCCTGGAGTGTGCAGCTCCAGCAGGTGTTGGTGAAAAACAGGACAGATCTCTGCCCAGAGTCAGGCTGTGCTCTGCCGTCTTGTCCACGAGTAAGCATATCAGACAGCAGTGAAGAAGTCACTACTGGAGAGACAACTGAGGAAGTCTTTGAAGAAAGTGAAATTTAGAAAGCTGTCAACTAGGCCAACACCTTCCAACAGTGACAGTATTTTGGAAGAGCTCCTTCTTTCACTTTCAGGTTGTACAGATCTCTGGGATGTGCAATGGAAAGAGAAAACACACATATTTCCTGCCAGTAATTAATACCCCAATTGTCACAGTTAGTATTTAATCCAAGAAAAATCTGAATGTCCCTAACATATGATGGCCAGGGAGAGAGAGGTTTGCTGGGTTGAAGAATCCTTTGTGTCCACCAGTCTAGAAGATAACTGATGCTAAAGGGGATGTGCACAGAGAGGCAGGATGTGATCTAGACATGAATAGGACTCTGGATACACACATTTTGTCCCAGTAGCTTCATCCACACATGTCCACTATTCTATTCATATAATAAAGTTATGTGTTTTGCAGCTTTATTTCACAAATAAAGATAATAGACTAAAAAGACTTTTATTTCTTGCAGGATTTTCTCAGTGTTAAGAATTTAATCTATTTAATCCATAGAGAATAGATATTTAAATAAAATATTACTAAAATTTGAATAATTGATTTTAAAATGTATCTGCAGTTTTTAAAGGCCTTTTATGAAAATGCATGCTTTACTTAGATAACATTTTACTCTTATCACTCCATTTACTTCTTCATCACCCTTTAGTAACACTACACACTATCTGCTGAGAGTGTCTTCTCCAATTTAAAAAAAACTGAGTTCCTCTAGAGATATTTTTTAAGATATTAGAAGGCTTTAAGTGCATTTTATTTGGCTGCTAGAAATGTGAAAATTGTAAGAATTGTATTATTTCTCAGTAAAATAGTTTGCTTTTTAATTGCATATTAAAATATTTCTAATGGTAAAGAAAATAGTTTTCAATTCTGTGAGCAGCAGTCCCTAGTGAGCTGTGTTTTCTCCTCTCTATTATGTATATAATCTTTTGACCTCTTTCAGTTTATAAAAATCAATGTTTTCATATAAGCAGACTAAAGAGGCCTGGTGAAAACAATCATCACATGGATCCATTCAGAAGGCATGTTTGTAAGTAGATAAATCAGCAGCTTTCATCAACAAAATATAGCATTATTTATTGTATCACTAAAGTACAGAAGTTGTTAAATCTGGATGACCACACACACGATGCATCTTTGCAGAAGTATTACAAGCTCTTCAGATCTATATAATATATCAAACTGTCTAGAAGACAGCAACAGATTCAACATTTCAAATGTGTTAATAGGTTCAACTATTTTCCTCCTAGGGAGGTGAAGGTCTAGTCACGGACTAGGAAGATAAAAAATAGTTTGGAATTACCTTAGAAGAAAGGACAAGAAATATGTTCGTGCTCTGATGAAACAAAGAGGTGAAGGAGACATTGACCTATAGTGATGCTTCGTCATGGGTAACATTTTCTGTAAATTACTTATCCAATCTGACCACAGATTAATTGTCAGACAACATAAGCTTTGTCTTTAATATTACTCCATGGATATTTCTCTTTATCAATCAGTTGGTTACCATTACTCTACAGATCTCCACCACTTTCACCTTATCAGAAAGACTGGTATGATCTAGAGGCTTCTTTCCTCTTAATGGTAGTGGCCAGGTTCCTGTGGTCGTGGCAGTTTGGGCTCTGTGCTGAGGCAGTTCATTAAGTAAAGCAAGATGGTATATTCATGCTCCTGGCATCAGAGACAATGCATGCTAGAGCCTGAGACACACAGTTTGAAAGTGATCTTGCCGAAGGATTTTGTTTTCCATCAGAACTTGTAAGAACAAAAGTTGAATCTCAAGCCCGAAATAGCTTGTGGGGTTGCTCTGACCTATCCTATTAGATGTAGCATGATGACTGGTCTGATTTATATGAAAAAGATTTATTTAATCTAAATATTCTGTTGTGAGGCATGCTATTAATTTTTATATTTTCCTACACATAAAACACAATCTTCCAGACAGAAAGGCTCCTTTAATGGTCTGAGATGTCAGCTACATACTAATTATAAATGTTCTTCTTCATTTAAATATATTTCTTGTACTAAGAAATACATGTTCTCAAGGGCTCAGAGAGTGAACCCTCTAGCTTATCTTGGTAAGGAGAGCCCTCTCTCAGCTGTGCCTGGGAATTGATAATACTGGTTTGCATTTTTTACAATACTGACTAAATTGAGATGTGCCCGTTCTAGCATGCTTGATGTGTTCACTTCCTGAAGCACCAAATAGAAGTGAAATAAAAAAGTGTCCCATGAGCCACATCATTATATCTTATGAAAGAGCTAAGTTTGGCAGGGTTGAGTGCCTGGAAAAAAAACAACATGAATATTGTGTTTTGTTCCAGGACAAACATATGTTAATATAAAAACCACTTATTACTAAAGAGAGAAAATACATCTTTAATAAAACAGATAAGCAAAGCATCATATGATAACTTGTTCTTAAACTACAGTTCTAACACCATTATTAGCCCTCTTTCCTCCAGCTCGTTGAGGCTGGAATGGGATGATAAAGTCCACCTTATCTACTAACCAAGCTCTGATAGGGCCGCAAAACAGCTGACATCTTTTTGAAACACAGGAAGTTCCGTCTGAATCTGAGGAAAAACTTCTTTCCTGTGAGGGTGCCTGAGCACTGGAACAGGTTGCCCAGAGAGGTAGTGGAGTCTCCTTCCCTGGAGATATTCAAAACCTGCTTGGATGTGATCCTGTGCAATGTACTTTAGATGACCCTGCTTGAGCAGGGAGGTTGGACTAGATGATCTCCAGGAGTGCCTTCCAACCTTGGCCATTCTGTGATTTGGTGATCTTTTTCAGCTTTCATTACAACAGCAATTCTGGATTTTTAATTCTTTCTGTTCAGCCAGACATCCAAACCTCACAAACCTTCTGCTGTGCTAAATTACATGTGGGGTTTGGGTACATTTGCAGTCATTCCTGAAGCCACACACAAATGCAGTGTGAAGCAGCTGATGGTAAACCAGGTCATTGCCATTAGCTCCAGGAAATGAAATTGGAACTGTCACATAACCAAGCTTCAAAGGCTTGAAAGCTCAGTTTCCTTTTGTATCATGTTCATCTCATTGGAACAATTATTTTCTTCCAGCACAGCCAAAATTCTCACTGCTCTCCCTCTTTCCTGTTCAGTTTGTTTCTTAACCTTCTCTGAAGACAGCACTGATTTTAAGTGCAGCAGCACCTCTGCAGACACTGCAAAGCAGCAAGTCCTATGCTGCTTAACCTCTCCTAGTGTCTACTCTCTTCCATTTGGTAACCCAAGTACATCTGGGACTCTGTCTTCTCAGTGTGCATTTTAAAACACTGCTTGATTGTTCCACATGTTACTGATGAAATGCTGCATTCTACAGCATATCCTCAGCTCTTCAGAGGCTGTGTTTATACTGCGTTTGAGAGTTGAACTTGTTCCAATTCACATTTGCAAGGCCAAGTGGTCCTTGAGCCCCTTGCACCTACCATGCCTGAAGGCTGGAGTTTGTCTGGGTCAGTTCCTCACAGTGACACATTATCCAAGCATGGAGGACCAGCTTAATGCCAGAAAAACGCCATGATTTGCAGGGAATTTGGACCTGCTTGAGTCTGGAGAGCTTACTTCACCTGTCTTATACCCATAACCGCAGAAACCACATGTGCCACGTTAATAGTAGAGGTGACAAAGGCTGGCAAAGTGCTTCGGGCTTCTTGCTTCCTTTTGGTTTCACACTTCCACCTGCTGCCTCCTCTCCTCCTTTGTGTTTAAGAAACAGTACTTAGATCTGACTCTGTGTAATGCTTGGGGATTACAGGCTGCCCTACTGCAAAGCCCTACCTTCAGATAAAAATTGAGGCTTAGCAAAGAGGGTGCTGAATATCACATAGCAGGACAAAAGAAAACTAAAAAAAATTGCTCCAGGGCTGAGTCTTCAGCTTTTCTCTGCCCCCCTTCTCTGCAATCCCACCTCTGGCAGGCAGCCAGTGCTTAAGGTTCAGAGGAGGCAAGTGGTGTTTCCACTTAACGCTGCCAGTGTGTGGTTTAAGGTCTTTCATTGAATTTGAATTTGAATTTCAAGGGCATGATAAGCAGATAATCGAGACTCAGGATGTTTAGATTTTGTGTTTAATGATTTCTAACTTGCTGGGTAACTTTGGAAGAGTTAGGTCAGCTCCCTGCACTTCAGCTTCACCTTTGTTAAACAAAGATTATGGTAATGATTGTCTGTTCAAACACTACAGAATATCAAGGTGACAGGTTTGTCACTATTATTCATTGTTTAGTTAAACAATATCAAAGATTCAGACAAGAATTATAAAAGTCCAAAGACATATAACACTTAGACTTCTTAAAATTTTGTTTTAAATCTTTTATTTCCAGACCAACCCTATGCATTGGGGCAGCTAATGCATTTTTATTGGCTTACTTCTGGTAGCATCCTCAAAGACTAGAAAGAGAAGGTGGGCTGCTAATGAGTCAGGGTTATCACCTATGGGATAATCTGCAATAAGGCAGCAAGAAGGATATATGCACAAGTCTTCTGCGCACCTGGAGTTCTTAAGAACACTAAGCTCTTAAACTTTGGGAATTTGGGGAGATAGACAAAATTGGGGCAGCATCTCTGCAGTTCTTTTCATGGGTGCATGCTTCAAACACAGCAAGGCAGGAGCCTTAGCTCTGTTCCCTAAAACAGCTGCATAGGATAGGAAGGAGAACTGGGGAGTTGTATAGCCTAAATGATTTTTTCTGGATTTCAGACATCTGAGTGTCAATGAACTCAAAATTCCACAAAAGAAAAAAATGCCAGAGAGTAACTCTGACTTAATTCTATTCTTAGTCAACAAATTAAATTGCATTGTGACTGCTTTGAAACTTACACAGCAGGAGATGCTGCTTCCTGATCCCTTTGCCTACAGCCTAAGATATCAGATGTTAACCTCCAAGTATGAAATTTTTAACATTTCCATGTTCTCCCAGCCCCTGCCAACATCCCATTCACCTGTACTGAGCAATGCCACAGAGCAGAAGTGCTGTGCT